AAAATAACAAGTGTTGGCAAAGATTTAGAGGAACAGGAACCTTCATACATTGCTAGTGGGAATGTAAAACAGTTCAGACACTGTGGAAAACTGTTAGTGGCTCCTTAATAAGTTAAAAATACAATTACCATGGGACTCAGTGATTCCACTGCTAAGTACACCCAAAAGAACTGAGACAGGTGGTGCCTGTGGCTCAGTGGGTAGGGCACATAGCAAGCACTAGCCCCATATACGGAGGGTGGCGGGTTCGAACCTGGCCCAGCCAAACTGCAACAAAAACATAGCTGGGCGTTGTGGCAGGTGCCTGTAGTCCCAGCTACTTAGGCGGCTAAGGCAAGAGAATTGCCTAAGCCCAGGAGTTGAAGGTTGCTGTGAGCTGTGCCACCATAACACTCTACTGAGGGCAACAAAGTGAGACTCTGTCTCAAAAAAAAAAAAAAGAACTGGAAACAGGAGTTCAAACAAAACTTATATGTGAACGTTGATAGCAGTTTATCCATAATATAAGGCAAAAAGTAGAACATGTCCAAATGTCTGTCAAAGGTTAAGGGGATAAACAAAATACTGTACTCTTATTTGGCCATAAAAGAAATGAAATACTAACACATGCTAAAATATAGCTGCACTTTGAAAACATTATGCTAGGTGAAAGAAGCCAGATACAAAAGGTCACACATGGTATGACTCCGTTCATATGAAAGTCTGTAAGAGGCAAATGCACAGAGACAGAAAGTAGATTAGTGCTTCCCTGTGGCTGGGGAAGGAAGAACGGAGAGTGACTGCTACTGGGTACGGGGTTTCTTGCTGGGGTGATGAAATGTTCTGAAGTTAGATGGTGATGATGCTGAATAACTTCGTGAATATCCTAACTACCTCTGAATTGTATAAGGGATGAATTTTCTGTTTTTTAAAGTCTATGGAAAATACTAAATTTTAGATATTTCAAATAAAGAATTACTATATTTCTTAGTTATAAAACAAAAGGGAGTATTCAAGCTGTATGTATTACATATACCTATCTCAAAAACTACTGTGCGTGTTTTCAAGTCTGTATTTTATAAGCGCAAAGCAGGTAGATGAACAGCTACATGCTAAGTTTTGTTATTGCTGCCAATTCTTCTATTTATTTTAATGGCACTTCCTGTGACAGTATGTGATGTAGAAAATACTCTAAGTATTTAATGTGAATGTCACTGAAGAAAAGTATCTTGAAGATATAATGATTTAAAGTAGTAAATTGAAATTCTTGACAGCTTATCTTTAGAAAAATACTTAAAAGTTACTGAAAAATCACTCTCTGATTAGAGTTACTACCTACACATTCTACCCCCTATAAACACAACCTGGGAGGTTACCTCCTTCTCCTCTGGGCAATACAGGGGTCCCGTAGGATGAAGAACAGCTTTCTGTGCATAATAAAAGAGCTCTGATATGTTCTTCAGGTTTTTTGCTGAACACTGAAAAAAAAAAAAAAGAAATTTAAAATCTTACACTTTGAAATCAATTATGAGAGCTAAAAAACAAATGATAAGGATCCTAGAAGAAAATAAAAACCGCATTTTTCTTTGTAGACCTCACAGTACGAATGTCTACAAAGAGTTCAGGGCCACACTCCAAGTTCTCTGTTTTATTTGATTTACATGACTTCACAAAGAAAAGGAAATTTATTTCATCTCACATTGAGCCTCCCCCCATTCAGAACATCACTTTAGTAAAAATTCACCAAAAGTAAATTTCCAAACCAAATGATGAGGCATACCTCCACACAGGTTTCTATTTCTGTATACTGGTTCATAATAGGAAGGATGGTCTCCATACTACTATATTCCACCAGATCAGATTTGTTCCCAACCAAAATTAAAGGCAGCCTGAAATAAACAGGGCACATTTGTAGGCAAAAATCATTATATTTTTATTTTTATTTACATAATAACCCATTCTTCCCACTATAAAATTGGAAGCCTTGAATGGTTTTAAGTATGGGGTCAACATTTTTAAAGTAGTGATTTATTATCTTTTAGAGAGATATACTGAAATATTTATAGGATGATATAAGGTCTGAATTTGCTTCAAAATGATCCCAATGGGAAGGATAATAAATGAAACAGGACTTGACCTTAGTTAATAATTGTTAAAGCTAGGCTCAGGGCTTGTGGCTCAGTGAGTAGGGTGCCGGCCACATATACTGAGGCTGGCAGGTTCGAGCTCGGCCTGGGCCTGCCAAACAACAATGACAACTGTAACAAAAAAATAGCCAAGCCTGTAGTCCTAGCTACTTGGGAGGCCAAGGCTAGAGAATAGCTTAAGCCCAAGAGTTGGAGGTTGCTGTGAGCTGTGATGCTACAGCACTCTATGTGAGACTCTGCCTCACCAAAAAAAAAAAAAAAAAATGTGTATACACGTCTGTAGCAGCATTATTAATAACCAAAAAACAGAAATAACCCAAATATCCATAAATTAACTAATAGATGAACAAAATGTGTTTTTCTTTTATAATGGAACATGATTCAGCCATAAAACAGTATGAAGTACTAATACACAGATGAACCTTGAAAACTTTATGCTATATAGAAGAAAAAAAAACCTTAAAACATTAAAATCTAGAACTATCATTCTGCTCAGAAAAGTACAAAATATGTTTTTCTCTTGTTTTTTATTAATCACACATATATTTCTTTCAAAGAATTTCAAAGAAATCTCCCTGCATGAATTCCTAAATGAACATCTCTAGAGTTTTTTAAGTGCTTATACATGTATTATTTCATTTGATTCTCAAAATAATAAAATGTACCCAAGACAGGTATTATTCCCATCTTCACTTATAGATGAGGACACTAAGAAGCCAAATGAAGTCTAAGTAAAGTGGAAAACCAGATTTCAAAGGTTGTCCTTCTTTTTTCAAGTCTGTACCCTTACACAGACCACACTGAAGAACACCATACCTCATCAAAGAGGCACCTTAAGAGATATATATACGGGCGGCGCCTATGGCTCAAAGGCGTAGGGCGCTGGCCCCATATGCCGGAGGTGGCAAGTTCAAACCCAGCCCCGGCCAAAAACTGCAGGTAAAAGAAAAAAAAGATTAAAAAAAAAAAGATATATATATATATATATACACACACACACACACACATATATATATGTATAGTACAGGTGGAAGATGGATTCAAAAGCTGAGACTCTAAGCAGTTAGAATTTCTCTTACATTTGAAAGAAAAATGTAAGATTTATTATCAAAATATTTAATCTGCCTCAAGTTTGAAATCATTATAGTGCCATAGCTCTATTTCCTGCTTTAATCGCGAATACATTTATTACCTCACATTATTCCCTTGAAAAAAGGTGTAGGAGTATGTATGTGAACAGAGAGATAAAGAAAAGGTGGGAAAATGTTAGCTGGTGGATGAAAGGTTTTTGGGGTTTTTTTTTTTTGTGGTTTTTGGCAGGGGCTGGGTTTGAACCCTCTACCTCCAGCATATGGGGCCAGCGCCCTACTCCTTTGAGCCATAGGCACCGGCCCGATGAAAGGGGTTTGTTTGTTTTTTAATTTATTTTTAAATTTTATTTCCTTGCTTATTTTAAATTTTTATTTCTTTGCTTTTTTTTATTGTTGAGCCAGAATCCCATCCTATGCCCCTGAACAGAGTGCAATGGTGTCATAGCTCGCTGCAAACGCTGCCTCAGCCTCTGGAAGCCGCTAGGATTACAAGCGCTCGCTGCAGTGCCACACCAGGTTTTTCCTTTTTTTTTTTTTTTGCAGTTTTTGGCTGGGTCTGGTCCTGAACCGGCCACCTCTGGTATATGGGGCTGGGCTGGCGCCTTACTCCTTTGAGCCACAGGCGCTGCCCATTTTTTCCATTTTTTTCATGAGTGGGGATCTCACTCTCACTCAGGTGAGTCTCAACTCCTGAGCTCAAGCAATTCTCCCTTCTCAGCCTCTCACAGTGCTGGGATTACAGGTGTGAGCCACTGCGCTGGCAGGATGAAAGCTTTATAAAAGTTCAATGTACTATTTCTTGCACCTTTTCTGTAAGTTTGAAATTTTTTGATATACAAAGTTTGAGAGAGGAAAAAAAAAATACCTGCTGTCTTTGTCCGTTCTCTCATTTATGAGAGGAATCCATCGACTCGTTACCTAAAATGAAAATTAACAAGAGCTAAGCCATGACGGGGAGCTTCTTTGAAAAGCTCTCTGTCCTTAGACCCTGAAATTCTAAATTGAGGATCAACTTTGAAAGTGCCCTCTTGAAATTTAAATATAGTGGAAAAAAATCACATATTCATACCTTATCAATAGAATGTTTGTTGTTAACAGCATACACTATGCAGATGACGTTTGCCTAGAAAAAAATTTAACAAATTAATGGCATTTTTAGATCATAAAAAATATCAAAGTAGCATTTAATTATCAAATAACTAATATATTGGGAGCAAGGGAGAAAACAACTTTAAAAACTTAAAAAAATGTGCTTGCCTCTCAGAGGAAACAGTTCCTGAGGACTTACAGCAGAAATGCAAACTCAGTATCAGCACTAACAACAAAGACCTGAGAAGGCCCCCCTGGTGAGAGAATGAAAATGGCAGACTCATTGGATCACCACTGTTTCTCCACAAAAAAAAAACTCACCTGTGATATTTCTTGATGAAGTTGTTCATCACTTTGTTCTGCTTCTACAAATGACAAAAAGTCAATGCGTCATATTGTAAATACTTTCATTTAAACAAATGGTCAAGCTAAAATATATGCAACGTCCTTCAAAGGACACAGTTAAAGTCAAGACTGGGTGGCAAACACAATGCCAACACAGGGGAAGGAAACAGTTAAACTAGGATAAGGTAGCTGGCTAGCATTAAAAGTCTACAAGCAGAGGCACTGTGTAGCAAATCTAGGCCGGCATCTGAACAAGAGTTGAAAAGACTTAGACAAAAGAGATCAGAAACACAAGCAGGAAGAAGAGGTGCTGAACAGTGAGAACCTTGAACAAAGAGTCTATATACACACAGAGTCATAAGGCCAGATGAAAATCTGGTAATACTAGCTTAAGATCTAGATAGCACATGGGAGTAATAATAAATAGGGCCCACACGCAAAATTGTAGCCCTCTTTATCATAGATTTCTAGCTAGAACTGGTCTCAACGAGTAGATGTGCCTGCAATTCTGTAAGTGCAGGGGATACACATGATATCGATAGGATGAGGAAATAAGAATTGATAACCAAAGTAATTATTGGCATATTAATTTAGACCATCTTAGGTTACATGTGTCTCCTCCTACAAATGTTTGTTATTTCTGACATATTAAACTAATATATATAAAACTCATATACTATAAGTTTAATGGTATTTTATACAATGCTACATAACATGTTGTATTTTTAGTATCTTTCTGTATGTTGAATAATCAATGTGTTAAGGCTTCAATTCTATAATAATACTGAAGTAAATCTAATGATGTGGCTATAAACATTGAAAAACAATTCTGTAAATAAAAGTAGTTACGAGATTGATTTTATTTTTAAGAGACAAGGTCTAATGCTGTTGCCCAGCCTAGAATGAAGTGACCTGATCATAGCTCACTGTACTCCTGGAACTCCTGGACTCAAGTAATCCTCCCACGTCAGCCTCTTCAGTAGATAGGACTACAGGTATGCACCACCATGCCCAGCTAACTTTTTTCTTTTTTTAGAGATAGATATACCCAGGCAGGTCTCAAACTCCTGGCCTCAAGTGACCCTCCCACATTGGCCTCTCCAAGTCCTCGGATTATGGGCATGAGTCACTATTCTCAGCCTCACATATGTAATTTTTAATTTTCTAGTAGTAACCATTAAAATAGGTAAACAGGTAAAATTAAATTTTTACCTAATATCAAAAATATTTATATTTCTGGCTTGGTGCCTGTAACACAGTGGTTACAGCACCAGCCACATACACAGAGGGTGGCGGGTTTGAACCTGGCCCAGGCCAGCTAAACAATGATGACAACTACAACAAAAAATAGCCAGGCGTTGTGGCAGGTGCCTGTAGTCCCAGCTACTTGGGAGACTGAGGCAAGAGAATCACTTAAGCCCAAGAGTTCAAGATTGCTGTGAGCTGTGATGCCACAGTACTCTACCAAGGGCAACATAGTGAGACTCTGTCTCAAAAAAAAAAAAAAAAATTTGTATTTCAACTTGTACTCAATAGAAAAAATTACTAATGAGACATTTTTACATCTTTTTTTCATAGTAAATCTTCAAAATCTAATTGTATTCTATACTTAAACAGTATTTTTTTTTTTTTTTTTGAGACAGAGTCTCACTCTGTTATGCTGGGTAGAGTACTGTGGCATCATTGCAGCTCACAGCAATCTCAAACTCTTGAGCTCAAGCAATCTTCCTGCCTCAGCCTACCGAGTGTCCGGGACCACAGGCGTGCATCACCAGTCCAGCCAGTTTTTTGTATTTTAATAGAGACTGGGTCTCCCTCTTGCTCAGACTGGACTTGAACTGAGCTCAGGCAGTCCACCTGCCTTGGCCTCCCACAGTGCTAGGATTACAGACCTGGGCCACCACAACTGTTCTATAGCATATTTCAAATTTGAATAGTCACATTTCAAATGTTTAATAGCCTCAGGCATTAAACAGTATAGTTCTAGTATTTCTTTAATACCAGCTAGGCCAAACAAAGTATTATCAATGTATTTACACCCAATTTTTAAAAAAGAAGTTGTAGAGCAAAACAATTTAATTAATTAATATGTAAAAAAAATTAAGTTATTAAAAGCAATACTGATAGGCTTCTAAAATCATATAAGTAAGCTAATTGTTTTAATTATTATCTTATCTGGGAAAAATATTGACAAATTGAAGAACAAACCCAGAACTCAACAAATTCTTGAATTCAGAACCCTTTCTAAATCGTAACAGCATGCTTATGCCTGATAACAAACTGACCCAGAACTTCTGTCTGCAAACATGTCAATTCAAAGAGGGTAATTTACCATTTACCATTTCCTCTTTTTTATTACGATGGATCCCAATTTGGTAATTTGGGAGAACTGCCAGATGGAAGGTGTAGATGGGATGTGGGTGGTGGCAGAGAGACAATAAATGAAACAAGAATCATAAAGGATCATTTATTGCTACAGAGAAAGGACCACCTGTCTTTGAACATTTTGTAAAACCTGAGCACCCTTTCCCCATACTATTACGTTAACCCTACACTTTCACCTACCAGAGGATCTTTATTACCTGAGTAATCTACAATATGTGTTGGAACTCTCTCAGGGGTGACATCAGCTGGAATGGTGATTTCTTCTGCGCGAGGAGGAACCTTTGTTTGCAAACAAATATAGAAAAGGAATAACTCTGGATATTATCACTCAAACTTGTAAACAGATTACATAAATTTATCTGTACAGGTTAAATAGCCTTAATCTAAAATTCCAAAACCAGCCCGCTGCAGTGGCACAGGCCTGTAATCCTAGCACTTTGGGAAGCTACAGCAAGAAGATTATTTGAGGCCAGGAGTTTGAGACCGGCTTGGGCAACACAGTGAGACCTTTTCCCTAAAATATAGAAAATTAGCCAGGTGTGGTGGCATATAATTGGAGTCGCAGCTATTTGAGAGGCTGAGGTGAAAGAACTGCTTGAGTCCAAGAGTTCAGGGCTGCAGTGAGCTATAACTGCACTACTACACTCCAGCCTGGGTGACAGAACAAGATTCTATCCCTAAAAAGTAAATAAATAAAAATAAAATTCCCCAAATCAAAACGCTCCAAAATTCTAGCCTTTTTGAGTGCTGATGTGATGCTCAAAGAAAATGCTTACTGGAGCATTTCTGATTTTCAGATAGGGGGTACTTAACCTGTAATTATGCAAATACCCCAAACTCTGAAAAAAGTCTGAAATTTGAAACACTTCTAGTCCTAGGCATTTTAGATAAGGTATATTCAACCTGTGTTAGCTTCCTTCACCCAAACTCATTTGGTGTATCTTTAAGTGTTCATTTTTGTGCTTTTCCACAGATGTAAATATATATTAAAATTGTGTGACAAAAACTTTTTTAAAAATTCTCATTTCTACCTGTGTAGGCATAGGACTTTTTTTAGGGTCTCGTTCTGTTGCTCTTGGTAGACTGCCGTGATGTCATCACAGCTCATAGCAACCTCAAACTCTTAGGCTCAAGTGACCTTTTTGCCTCAGCTTAGTGACTAGCTGGGACCACAGGGGCCCTCCAAAACACCTGGCTAGTTTTTTTCTATTCTTATAGAGACAGAGTCCCGCTCTTACTCAGGCTTGTCTTGCAATCACCTGCCTTGGTCTCCCAGAGGATTACAGGCATGAGCCACCATGCCCAGCCCAGCATAGGACATATTAAGGAGACTTCAGATTTGACACAGGCACAAACAATTCCTAAATTAGTGTCTCAAACATTAGATTTTTCTTATTTTTGAGACAAAGTCTCAAGCTATTGTCCTGGGTAGAGTGCTATGGCATCACAGCTCACAGCAACCTCAAACTCTTGGGCTTAAGTGATTCTCTTGCTTCAGCCTCCCAAGTAGACAGAGTCTCACTATGTCACCCTCAGTAGAGTGCTATGGCATCACAGCTCACAGTAACCTCAAACTCTTGGGCTCAAGTGATTCTCTTGCCTCAGCCTTCTGAGTAGCTAGAACCACAGGCACTTGCCACAATGCCCAGCCATTTTTTTTTGTTTGTTTGTTTGCAGTTGTCATTGTTGTATAGCAGGCCCAGACCAAACTCGAACCTACCACCTTCAGTGTATGTGGCCTACTCATTGAGCTACGATGCTAAGTCTGAGGAAATGCTTTTAACTTTCCCCCATTCAGGGTGCTATTGACTGTGGGTTTGTCATGTAAAACTTATTAATTTTTATTTATTTATTTATTTTTAGAGACAGAGTCTCGCTATGTTGCCCAGGCTGGAGTGCATTGGCTATTCACAGG